CTAATTTTTTATATCTATCTATCTATCTATCTATATATACACACACAAACATATATATATATATATATATATATTTGTTGTTGTTTGGTGCCATCGAGTCATCTCCAACTCACAGTGACCATATGTGCAACAGAACAAAACACTTCCCAGTCCTACTTTACCTGAGCCCATTGTTGCAGCTACTGTGTCAATCCATCTGGTTGAGGCATTCCCCTTTTTCATTGACCTTCCTCTTTACCAAGCATGGTATCCTTCTCCAAGGAATGATCCCTTCTGACATGACCAAAGTAGGTGAGATGAAGTCTGGCCATTCTCGCTTCCAAGGAGCATTCCGGCTGCACTTCTTTCAAGACAGAAATGTTAGTTCCCTTAGCAGTCCATGGTAGTCTCAGCATTCTTCTGCAACACTGCAACTCAAAAGCATCAACTCTTCTTCAGTCTTCCCTATTCATTGTCCAGCTCTCACATGCATATGAGGTGATTGAAAATACCATGGCCTGGGTTAGACGCGCCTTAGTCTTCAAGGAGTCATCTTTGCTCTTCAGACGTGAAATAAGTCTTTTATGGAAAACTTGCCCAGTGCTCATCTGATTTCTATATACCTCGTATTTTTATAATATATATTTTGATTCTAATACCTCGTCTGATTTCTTGACTTCTGCTTCCATGGGTGTTGATTGGAGATCCAAGTAATATGAAGTCTTTGACAACTTCAATCTTTTCTCCATTTATCGTGATGCTAGTAGCCATCTTGCTATAGGCGTATAGCCTGTTCAGTACATCCACCTAAGAGTACTAACTGGTGCAGTGCCTTCAGAGCCTGTCACTGACAGGAAAGTTAATGTCATGAGCATTTGCCTCACATCAATGAAGGAATAACCTGGTATATTTTGATAAACATCAAAGACGAAGAGTGCCTGCTGCTAGTGGCTGTCCTGAGCCATTTTCTGAGAGTCACTTATATGCCTCAGTGAATGTCTGAGAATAGTTACCTTTTTTAATGTCTTCATAAAACAAAATGATCTTTAGGATTTGAGGAGCAAACTTGTATCTAGTAAGATAAATAATTTACAATCTTATCATAGTTGTGATCACTGTGGGAAGAACTCTGAGTAGTTAACCAAACAAACCAAACATACTGACATCGAGTCGGACCTGACTCATCACAACCGCTCCTTGGGTTTCTGAGGCAGTATCACTATGGAAGTAGATTGCCCAACCTTCCTTCCGAGGGGTGGTTAGGAGGGGAGAAATAAGGAGAAAACAATGGTGAGATTGAATATTTTCTTAATTTTTTAAATTGTCATCATTAGCTTCCAGGCATTTTAATTCTGGGTATTTGACAGCACACTGTTCCTAACTGGTCTCAGGAAGGGCTGCTACTGTAAGCTTAGATGCTCCCCAGAGGAAGAAGAGACTCACTGAAGGCCACGTTTTAAGCATATCTACCAGAAAGGAAAGAAAAGATAGGATGTAGTAAACATGGTAGCTGCCTTTGAGTTTTGTTTTGTTTTTTTCCCAGTTGCTGTCAATTCGATCCCAACTCATGGCCGCCCCATATATTACAGAGTAGAACTGATCCAAAGAGTTTTCTTGGCTGTAATCTTTACAGAAGCAGATCCCCAGGCCTTTCTTTATTGGTGCTGCTGCAAGTATTCAAACAACCAACCTTGGGGCTAGCAGCTGGTCATAAACTGCTTGCACCAACCCCCCCTCCACAGGCTCATTTTGAGTATTTAAATGCATGATTCATCTTTCATGAGTAATTTTGCTGCTAATGAACAAAGCCTACTGCTAAACTCTTTTCCTCTCTTATAGTACCCCAGAAGGCAAACAGCATGCTTCGATATTACTGCACATAAGGAATATTAATGAAAATAATCTAAATTTTCAGTATAATTGCACTGTGGCTGGCGGGGGAGGCACAGACACCAGAGTCTTCATCTTGTTGAGAAAAGGTATGAGAAAACAGTTTTACTCTTGAAAGTTTGTGGCAACTTGGAAGGCTAATGATGAAAGATACCTCAAAGACCATTACTTCCTCATTTTATACACCAGGCAACAAGCTCCTGAGATAGGAAATAATTCAATTTGTGTTACAATCATTTGATGGCAGAGCTGGTTCTCAGCCCTTGCTGGAATCCTTCTGAGCCACAACTCCAAGCAGAGAATGAAAAAAAAAAAAAAAAAAAATCACAGTTCTTTTCTTCTCTTTAAAAAGGCAGCATTTGCCCACAGATAAAGCTCAGAAGGCAGGAATGGTTAGGAAAGGACAAAGGGAAATGGTAACCACAGGGAGGAGGTGGGAGAAATACTATTACATTGTGGGGATTGCAATCAATCTCATGAAACAAAATATGTATGAATTTTGGAATGGAGAACCAACTAGCTCTGTAAACTTTTGGGCAAATTACTAAAAATAAATAAATACGTCTTCTCTTGATCTCAGAGTCATATTGTAATCTCAATGTTGAATCTAAGAACCTAAAGTAAGGAAGCAAGCAGAGCTCAGGGACACAGATTCTGGCAGTAAGTGTCCTGGGGGGAGCATTTGGAGCAGCCCTGTCATACCCACAGCAGCTCAGCCTACGATGAGGTCAGTGAATATTGGATATAACACTGCCTCCAGCCTGTCTTTGCAAGGCATTGGGCTCAGGGGTCTTATAGAGTGGTCATTCACTTAACATATATTAATTAAGGCCTCTCTTTCTTGGACCAGCCCCTGGACTTGGCAGTGTCTTAAAGTTTTTCAGTGGAATTTCTCATGCAATTCTCCAGAATCCTCCATCTCATCCTTTACCCAAACTGTACAGCACAGAGCCATTGGCCCAGTAGCTGTCAGAGTAGCTGTGACTGGACCCAAAAAGCAGTTTTCCAGTTGTCACAGTGGTCACTACTCATTCACTCACTCCTTATTCCCAGGCTGGACTATTAATTTCCAAGATATATTGTAGGGAATGTCTAGTCTCTGAGAGAGACAGAAAGAGATGCATCTTTTTTGGCTCCAGTAAGAAATTGAAGGACTAGGACAGAGAGAACCTAAAGGTCAGAAGCTATTCCCAGGATAGGTTTTCTTAGCTCACCTAGCTCCTTCTTTTAAAACTGCTACTCTACTACATTAAATAATACTAATAATAATATAATAGCTAATACTCATTATATACCAGGCTCTGTGCTATGCTCTTTCACTCTGTATTTACAGCCAGCTTTTATAGATGCAGCAACTCACACAACAAGTAAAATTATATTAACTCAGTCCCATCTAACTCTGGAATCTGAGTTCTTACTTTCTACACGAGTTATTGCAGGGGTCCCCCAGCTTCGTGTGAACGACTGTACACACCTTGGTCCCTGCACTTATATGGGAGAGACATTCAAATCTGTTAGGCTTGTTTGATCCATTCATTACCTTGCTTGGATTTTCTGTGACTGCTTGCTATCAGCCACCACTGTCCTATTTGATCGGTGCAGGACTGTGCTGTCCCTGCCACAGAAGCTTCTAATCTGATCGTTTCTTTGTGCTGTATCGCAAATGCAAGCCACTATTAAGGAGCCTGGTGGTGCAGTGGTTAAGCCCTTGCCTGCTAACTGAAAGCTTGACGATTCAAACTCATCAGCCTACTCTGGGAGAAAAAGATATGGCATTCTGTTTCCATAAAGATTGCAGGCTTGAAAATCCAGTGGAGCAGTTCTACTCGGTCCATTAACGCTTGTTAAAAGAATTGACTCAATAGCAATGGGTAACCCACCATTATCCCATGGAAGAGTATGTGTGTGTATTCATGTGAATGTGTGGCACAGTCGTGATTATATAGATTTTTCAAAAATGCAGAAATCTCATGGCCTTTTTTAGAGTCCACTTATTAAGTAACCATAATTTCTTACTTTCTTCCTAATAGTTTTACTGGAAAGATCATCCCTAAAAATGGTGCTGAGATTAACCAGAGCTTTAAGTGTGTTTGTCCTCTTTGACCTAGAAATCCTCCTTAGAATCCATTCTGGAAAATAATCAGAAAAATGGAGAATGGTTTATGCATAAAGCTTTTCATTGCAGCATTATGTATATTCATGAAAACTGCAATCAATCTAAATATTGGGGTATTATGAATTATAATTTTAATGATGCAGTAAAATGTTCATAAGATAATGCCAAGCAATAAAAAGTAATCACTAGTAATTACTCTCAATTAAGTACAAATTTTCAGGGGGTGAAAAAGAGGAGATGTACTATCATGTTAGCAATAGTGCTCTTTAGAGTGTGGGATGGTTGTTTAAAATTATTTTATTCTCTATGTTGTTGTTGTTGTTGTTATG